GGGGGTGGCGGGGGCGCCGGGGACACCACCGAGTGTTCGGGGGGGAGGAACGCGTCTCTGGCCCCCCCCCCCCGGGGCAAACGAGGGGCTCCGCGGCTCCCCTCGCGCGGCAAGCGATTGCGCGCCTTCACCCTCTCGCGCCGGCCGAGGTTCTGTGACCCAGCATGCATTGCTTTCCCGGCTCTGCAGAAGTTCCAGAATGCGTCGTTTCAGGCTCGCGGGGGAGGACGCGGTGGTGGAAAAGCTTTCCGAACGTGCTGGGCTGCTCCAGATAACGCAAAGAAGGATAGGAGCATGAGGATTTCCCAACATGAGGATCTCCACTGCAGCAGTAACTGCTAGAACATAGAAAAAGTCCTTATCCTATACATCAGACACTTTTTCTATGTAGCTAGCGGCAGGAACTTGACACCAGCAATCGGGGGTTTCAAAGCAACCCGTGCCTCTTACCACTGTACAACAGCCCCTCCCTCTTTTGCATTGCTTGCTGCAGGACCTCGTGTAAGCTCCGTTACACTGTGGGAGGAAAGATGGGATACTGTATACAGTTGTAGGAAATAAATGATTTATAGTATCTTGTCTGTAGTGTTAACTATTTTGCCCTAGCTTGAATTTTGTGTCTTGGAATCTTGCTTGTTCAAACACAACAGATGTGAATTTTGGGGTAAGACGATTAAAAAAGTGGTGGTATTACAGTTCCAGATGCATCTGGAGGAACCTGATTTTCTGGACCCATTTTAGTTATAGTTTCGTCTGAGATATTTTACTGACTCTGCTTTGGTTTTTTTGGCAGATGGTCTGTGCCAAAAACTAGATGGGTGGAGTTTACCTTGACTTCTTGGTGGTTTTCCATAACATCAGTTATGTTATCCTTCTACGTTGCCTGGCAGGGTTGGGGACACTTCTGTAGCGATTCTGATACTTCCTATTTGGATGGACTCAAAAGGTGGTGTTGGGAGATTTCAACACCTAAGCCATTGATTTACTGTGTTCCTGTCGGGCCTAGCCCAAGGAACTCCAGGAGACCATGCAGAATCAATCCAGCAAGGTTTATTAGCTACAACCTCTTAACAAGAATTTTCCCAGAATAAAACCAGTTCGCAGGCTCAGCCAGTTCACACCGATGGAATTTCTTAGGGAGGTGCCAGTCTCCTCCACTTATCTCTTCCTCGCTCCTCTGGAGATGAGAGCACATTCTTTACTAACCAGTTCGCAGGCTCAGCCAGTTCACACCGATGGAATTTCTTAGGGAGGTGCCAGTCTCCTCCACTTATCTCTTCCTCGCTCCTCTGGAGATGAGAGCACATTCTTTACTCCTCTCCCATCATTCCAGTCCATCACAGTTCCATCTTGCCATTATCTGCTATTTAACATCTAAATGACACCACTAGAGATCATTTGGAGCTGTGGAGTGGGATACTATCACTATGCTAATGTTACTCAGCTCTACTGCTCTTTTCCTTCTAACTTTAATGAAGCAGTAAGTACCCTTGAGCATTGTCTAATCTTGAGAATGCTCTGGATAAAGAAGCACAAGCTGAGATTAAATCTAGACAAATTGGAAGTACTGTTGATTAGATCTCTGGGGGTGAAGTGAAATTTGTTCTGGATGAAGTTGAAATACCCAGAAAGAGCCATTCACAGTGTTTGAGAGTGTTCCTTAACCCCCAGATGTCACTGGATTTGCAGGTGGTAGCTGTGGCAAAGAACTTATTCGCACACTAACAGTTAATATACCATCTGCACTATTTGTGTGCTACTCAGATTTAGCGACAGTTATCCATGCCTTGGTTGTTCCCTAGCTTGACTACTGCAATGTACTTTATGTGGAGTTACCCTTGAAAAAGGTATTGAATTTGAAATTGATGCTAACAGGTGCAAGATAGATGGATCATATAATACACTACTACCAGCTGCCTACAAGGCACAATTTCAAGTGTGGGGGTTGATCTTTGAAGTCCTGAAGATCTTAGGATCTGATTATCTGCCTTTCCTGCTATGAACTGTCCAGTTGCTCAGTTCAGCAGGAAATGCTGTTCTGAAGATACCCCACTGCCAAAAGATCATCTATTAGGTATACAGGAAAGGACTTCTGCTCCCAGGCTGTGAAATATTCACTGTGGAGGTGTATTTGGCTCCTCCAAGAAGATTATTTTAAAAATCTTTCTCCAAACTTTTAACTATTAATTATTTGAATGCCTTATTTTAATGTTGGTTTTAATTACAGTTCTGTTAATTTTGTTCTGTTTTATACATAGCATTTTCTTATTGTAGTAAGTCTTGAGTGTTGGAATAGTGTCCATAGGTAATTACAGCTCATATTCTGGATCCAAAGAATTGTTTCCCAGTACAGTAAGAAACAAAATCATGAAAATTTTGGAAGTGCATGTGCTTTAAAACAGAACATTAAAATGTAAATTCAAAATAAATAATAGAATCATGAAGTAGAATTAGTTCTTAGAATTTTACTGCAAATGGTTTAGATTATATTTTATACCACATGCCAGTCTGTTGCTCTGAAAGCAGTTCTAACTCTAGCTCTTGTCCCAGACTTTTGGCAAGGGTGAATGAAGCCCCCTTGTATTATATGGGTTGTTTTTTGTTTTTTGTTTTGGTTCCTGTCTGATTTTTGTCATCTTTTTTTCTTTTTGTTTTTTGTTGTATTTTTTAATGTTTTTACTTGTGATCACCCAGAGTCTTTGGGAGTTGGGCGGCATACAAGCTTAATAAATAAATAAATAAATAAAACAGCCCAAACCTTGGGTTACATTTCTTTCAATTTGAGCCAGCATGGCTGAAGATGACGTGAAAGAGTGCAACTTGTTTGGAGGGCATCTACTTTTGAGGAATTAAAAAAAACATGCAATCAGCCATGATGAAGTTATTAGCAGTCTTTAATGGAACAATTAAATAAAGAACATTGGCATAAGCTGACACCTAGCATAATTAAAAGCACTTTTAATTCCATCTTTTCCAATTAAAAATTAACTATACATGGGTAAACTGCAAATACTACAATTTTATTATTGTTGCCAGGTCTATAATACATTCAATACACAGGGATTCATAAAGTGCAGGAAATACAAAGAAGTTAGCTGTTTCATTGCTTATTCTTTTAATGTTCAGTGACTTAAATCACAGGAAGCATCCAAGCAGCACTATATGTATAGCCTACCATGAAATCAAATGTGGACAAAGCAGCACTCCACAAACTCAGTGTTGCGTAAGATTTAAACTCATGATTCATGTTGGCTAAACTAGTTCTCCTTTTTCCCCTGCCAAATCCTCCTTTTGTCAAGATCAGAACAGTACCAGTCTTGCCAGTGTTGCATATATCTTATCACCTGGAAACATTCTCAGAAAGAAGTGTTTAATTTATGTAGAAGCAGAAATTATTCTAGTTTATCATGTTGAGCTATTTCTGTTTTCTGTACCTTAAAATCATTTAGAATAGCAGCCTTAGGCATACGTAAGTACTCAAGCTGCCCCCCCCAAAAAAGTCTTCAGTTTGGCAAACCAGGAGTAGATTGATTAAAAAGATGCCTTTATGCTTCATAACTGATGTAATTTAATAACACACATGAATGATTATGAATCAGAAGTAGTTTAATAGATTTAATAATTCATGATCTATTTTTGATGCAATACATGTAATATTTATAGATGTTAATATTTGGGAGGAGAAAATGTTTTCCCCAAAGCTGTAAATGTCTTTTTGTGGAAAAAAAAATGCAAATAAAAATTTTGCATGGTTTTGACAACTATTACATAATAAACTGCAGGTAGTCCTTAATCTACAACCATTTGTTCAGTGACTGAAGTTACAATGATGCTGAATGAATGGTGGTTACAACTGGTCCTCGGAATTCCAGCCGTCCCATCACCCCACGTCATGCAATTGCATTCTGGGCACTTGGTAACCCGTTCACACTTATGACGGTTGCAGCACCCTGCAATCATGTGATTGCCATTTGAAACTTTCCCTGCCAGCTTCCCCCAACAATTAAAGGGGGAGCTTGGAGGGGAAGGTGGAAGTCACGACCGGGTACGCTCCCCCCACCCCCCACACCCCCCCCCCCCTCCCCGC